AGAAAAGCCCTTGCCCCTGCCCCTTACCCCTGCCATCAGAGCTACCTTTCTCTAGGCAGGGAAGTCTGCTGAAGGACATGCTCACTGGAAGACATCTCTCAGGGTTGAGCACAATAAGACATGCATGCAATTCCAGATACTTGGGAAGAGAAATTTGGAGAATGGATGTCTGAGGTCATCCAGAGCAAAAAATATGAGTCTTATAAAACCAATGAAATTAAATGGAGAAAGGTCTAGAGGTGTGATTCAAGTGGTAGAGCACTTGTCTAGCAAGTGAGGCTCTCAGTTTAAACCCAGCATGGAGAAGAAGGAGAGGGGAAAGGGAGGAAGAGGGAAAGAGGGAAGAAGAGAAAGAGGGAGAGGAAGGGAGAACCAAAGGGGATTGTGCAATGAGGGTTTCCACATAAGACCAACCTATACCAGGGCTGATGCCCTGCATATGGCTTTCATCCTCTGAGAGCACACTTTTTTCTCAGCCATATCAATGAAAATGGAGGTCTGCAGGGGCTCTGGTGGGCTTTTCTGCCCCATCTCCTGCTTTGATGTAATATAACAAACTCTGATTATTGATTTGGATCCAAAGGTTTTGTAAACTCTGTAAGGTCTGCAAGGACTCTCATTTTGGTAGGTTGGTTTTGTAGAGCTGTTATCACAAAACTCCATGACCTAGGTGGCTTAGATTAGTAAAAATGAATTTTTTTCCCTCAGCTCTGTAAATTATGTCTAAAATCCAGCAGTCTGCTGATGAGTATCCCAAAACAAAGTAAGGATCCTGTGTGCCTTTGCAGGCATCTCTTGGCTTGTAGCAGCACAACTCTAAGGGCCATCTCCTTCCTGTATGGCTTAACATCTTCTTTGCTCTGTATGGCTCTGTACCTATGTTTTCCTCTTCTTGTAAGAAGATGTGTGTGCCTTCACATGCTATATCATTCAACTAATTATATCTCAACAGCCTTCATTCCAAACTATCTACTGAAAATTAGGGCTTCAATGTATCTATTTAGGGGCTACCACTCAATTCAAACCAAATGGCATTCACATGTAGGAAAAATCCCTAGGGAAAGATTGAATTCTATCTTATTTTGTTTTGAGATCATCAGTTTACTTCTATCCAAGCACAAGAGATTCAACAAAAAAGGTAACAGTAAAATAAAAATAGAATGCAAAAGAAAATTAACAGATACATGACAAATATAGATTACATAAACACTTCATAAAATGTATCAGGAGCTCCTAGACACTAATTTCCTCTCCAGTTCCTCGGCTCTTATGTTCTTTTAACTTTTTTTTCTTTTTCCAGTCCTGGTGCTTGAATTCAGGGTCTAGGAGCTATAGCTCAGCTTTTGTGCTCAAGGTTAGCACTCTACCACTTGAGCCACAGCTCTACTTTTGACTTTTTTGGTAGTTTACTGGAGATAAGAGTCTCACAGTCGGGGGTGATCGGGTGGGGGGCAGGGCGAGGATGGGAAGGGATGGGAAGGGGAAACAAAGGAGGAGGCTACAATGCTTGGTAAGAAATGTACTCATCATCTTGCCCATGGAATTGTAACCCCTCTGTACAGTATTTTCACAATAAAAAATAAATAAAAATTTCAAAAAAAAGAGTCTCACAGTCTTTCCTGCTGGGACTGACTTGGGACCGCAATCCGAAGACCTCAGTTTCCTGAATAGCTAGGATTATAAACCTGAGTCAACAGTGTCTGGCATCATTAACTATTTTTTTTAAATGGTTACCCTTGCAATTACACCATTCTTGATTTGTCAAAGTTCAAGGTCAATTGTTACTCTTCTCTCCAAACTGTCTTCACCTTAAACCATGAACTCCATTTTCTCACTTCTAATTGGATCACTTCTGCTCCTCTGTATTTTCACGTAATATGTATATTTAAACCCTATGGGACATTCTTTTTTCTAATTTGTATAATTACTGTGCTTTTAGAGTTGTCCCTTTGTTTTTCTTCCCCATGTTTCCATATATTTCTGTCAGAGATTATTTTCCTTCTGCCTACTGCCTTATACTTAGTGTTTCCTTTTGTTGGATCAACAACAGTTTTTTTTTCTCTCTCTCTTTCTCTCTCTCTCTCCTTCTCTCTTACCTTCTCACACTCTATTTTCTCTTCATATACTAGAATGGACTCTTAGAGACTCAAACTGAAGCAAAGCAAAGCTTCCTTGGCCCTCTTCCAGTTTGGGGAGGTAGCAACTGCCCTGCCCAACCTCTTAGCTTCTCTAATGCCTCACTTGAAACTAGTAGAGAGATGCCTTAGAGGAAAAGTCTCCAAATAATGGATTCACCTCTCTAGGGTTCCTTCCTCCCTGACCCCACCAGATGTTGGCTCTGTAAATTCCATTGCTTTCCAATGCTTTCAAGCAGATTTAGTTTACATTTTGTTCAGCTTTTCCAGTCATTCTTAGTGGAATGGCTAGTCTATATGACATAGTCTGGTAATAGAGGAGGCTGAATATCTGTTTCCTCTCTGTCTTTCAGAGTGTTTTTTGGAAGCCTCCGCTGAACAACACATGCTTATATCCATTGGTCAGAATTTAGTCATATGATTGTACCCCGCTTACATCCCATAAGAATTTACTCATGTGACTATACCTAGCAGGAAAACAGTCTTTATTCTTTTTTTTTTTTTTTTTTTTTGTCGGTCGTGGGACTTGAACTCTGGGCCTGGGCGCTGTCCCTCAGCTCTTCAGCTCAAGGCGAGCGCTCTACCACTTGAGCTACAGCGCCACTTCCGGTTTTCTGGTGGTTTATTGGAGGTAGGAGTCTCACTGTCTTTCCTGCCCCGGCTGGCTTTGAACCGCGATCCTCAGATTTCAGCCTCCTGAGTAGCTAGGATTACAGGCGTGAGCCACCAGCGCCCGGCTTAACAGTCTTTAATATGACCAGAGATCATAATCTCAGTTGAAGTAGTACATTCTATGGATATTTGAGAAAACAGAATCTAAGGGTTGTGGTATTAGTCTCCCAGTTATTGGCTATGCTAAGACCTACCTGCAAGATATTTAAAATGGAAGTGGTGATAATATCACTTAGGAGTCTCAAGTAAGATACAGGTAACTCAGTATCTACTGAGCTAAGACTTATTTATCATCAACTAGGCTTTGAGGTGAGTAGTTTATTTATACTAGGTTACTTGGTCTGCCCAACAACCTTATGCAGTGTTATTTGTTTTATGACAGAAAAACGGAGTCACAGAATTAAAGAACTTGCACAAACAGATACAGATACTTGGCTGCAAAGTGGCAACTGCAGCTCATATCCTCAGCCACTTCATGATCCCGGCCTCTGAGCTACAAAGCCTGGTTGTTGGAGTTGTTGAGGGCGGTGGCAACACCTGGAGAGGAACAGCACAGGGCTGGCTACAAAGGTGATCTCTTAAAGGAGGGGCTGACCAGGACTGACCTAGTTTCAGACCTGTAGGTTTTTGAATGACGTGGGCTTCCCATGGAGTTAGAGAACATGACCACAGAGGTAACAGGGTTCCTACAAAGCATATACACTCATGCTTCATTAAAGAAAAAAAATCACTTGTTGATGGGCACTGATAGCTCATACCTATAATCCTAGCTACTCAGGAGGCTCAGATCTAAGAATCTTGGATGAAAGTCAGCCCAAGCAGACAGGCGTCTGCCCAAGTCCAAGAGACTCTTATCACCAATTAACCAGCAAAAACCTGGAAGTGGAGGTATGGCTCAAGTGATAGAATGCCAGCCCTGAGTGAAAAAGCCAAGCAAGAGTGCAAGGCTCCTAAGTTCAAGTCCCAGTACTGGAAAAAAGAAAAGAAAAATCATCATTCTGATAAATCTATAAACCTTTAGTAAGGTACAAATTCGCATATAGAAAGTGTATGTGTGCGCGCATGCGTGTGTGTGTGTGTGTGTGTGTGTGTGTGTGTGTGTGTGTGTGTGCCTATACTGGGACTTGACTTCAGTGCCTGAGCTGGTGCTCTACATCTTGAGCCACAGGTCCCCTTCTGGCTTTTTGGTGGTTAATTGGAGATAAGAGTCTCACAGACTTTTCTGCCCCAGCTGGCCTCAAGCCTTCAATCTCAGCCTCCTGAGTAAGCTAGGAATACAGATATGAGCCACCAACTACCCCCTCTCACCCTCCACTTGGTTATTACCCTTTGTCAAATCTATTATCCCGACTTCTCACATCATAAGTTTTGTTTTGTCCACTTGGGTGGTGGTGTGAGTAAAAGGACACAGTATGTGCTTTCTTTGGTCTATTTCCACTCAGCATTGTGTTTTGAGAAACATTCTATGGCTACTTATTGCAAATGGTCTGTTGTGACTATCAATTTATTGATTGATTCAACTATTCATAGGCATTTGAATGATATTGCTGAAAGCTTTCTAGAACATAAATTTGGGGGCACACTTTTTATGTGTTTGTGTATGTGCATAACGGAATTGAAGCCAATGATCCTAAGGAATGTGTCTTGGCTTTCTTTTACAGGTGATGGAACATACAGAAAAGATTTGTCTCACATTAATTACCTCATGACTCCAGCTTATCTAGTAGGTTAGATTTCCAGGAGAGGCTGCCTTTGGGACCCAGAGAGCCACATACTGTAGGAGTTTGTCCTATATTAATGTATGAGCTTGTCCTATAATCCAACCCTGGTGCAGCACGAAGCTAAAGGCCATTTGGTAGAGGCCTTGATGTAAACTAATTTACACGGGAGGAAAGCAGTGCAGGTGTGGCTTCCGTGGGGCATGTGTTTCTAATCAAGCTAGGTTTAATGCCGTCCACTTCGGTGCAGGCCCTGGGCCATCCTCCTCGCTCCCTCCCCGCAGCCCCGGGGTGCGGGCCTGCCGCGGGTCCCCGACCCCGGGGCCCCAGCAAGCCTGCAAGCAAGCAACCAGCCAACACGCAGCTCCTCGCAGGGAGGAGGGCGGCGCGAGGGAGGGAGCGAGGGAAGGGACCGGCGAGCGGGAGCTGCCTCGAATGTTTGGAATAATTCCGCTTCCGTTTGGAAAGCCGCAGCCTCAGTCCCGCCGCCGCCCGCCTGCCGCGTCGGCCCAGCTGCAGCTCCGCGTCCCGCTCGGCCCCGCGCGCGGCTGCCCGCCCCGCCGCCATGGCCAGCTCCCCGCAGAAGTCGCCCTCCGTCCCCAAGTCCCCTACTCCCAAATCGCCCCCATCCCGCAAGAAAGATGACTCTTTCCTGGGGAAACTCGGAGGGACCCTGGCCCGGAGGAAGAAAGCCAAGGAGGGTAAGTGTAGCCCCGGCCCGGAGCGCGGCGGGGGAGAAGGGCCGGGGGTGGGGGCGGGGAGGGGGTTCCCCCAGCGGCCGGGAGCGCGCGGCGGGTGTCCGGTGCGCCTGGGCGCGCGCGCGCCTGTGTGAGATCGGGTGGGAGCGAGGCGCGCCCCGCACGGCCGCCCCGCGTCCCTGCGCCATCGAGGCCGCGTTGCTATCCCAGCTGCCGCTAGCCTAGGCCCGGGCCGGGCCGCATGGCTCCGGGAGGCGGCGGGGCCGGAGCCCAGGCCGCAGGCCGCAGTCCTCTCGTGGGCCGCTGTCCCCGCCTTCTTTGCGCCCGGAGGGCTGGCTTTCCCCAAGTTCCCTCGGAAAGTTTCCTGGGCGCCGTCACCTTCCCTCTTGGCCTTCATTGGTCTTTGAAATCGGCTCGGTGCCTGGATTTGCTGAAGGTTTTCCTTTTTTTTTTTTTTTTTTTTTTTTTGCCGCCGCCGCGCGTGGCTCTGTTTGGCTTTTTGGATGGTGGTGATCGTTACCAAAAATGGGTTGAAGGAACGAAGGGTCCGCCGTGAAATAGGCGACCGATCCTCACCCACGGAGAACGCCGGGGTTAGATGCAAACAACGTCCTGCATCAAGACCTTGCGGTCAACTCAGGTGGTGTGGGCATTAGCAAAAACCGCGTTCTTGTTCTCAACATGGTGAATCCAAACAATCTCCCCCCCCCCCCCCCCCCCCCCGCCCCCAGTAGTTTCTCCTGTAAAGAGACTTTTGCATCCTGGTTTAGTATGGGAAAGATTAGGTGGCAGTTCTCAAAGAAACAGTCGCAATGAATGGGTAGGTCGAAGTTTCTGGGTTAAAATACGTTTTCAGCCAGGCACAAGCTTGTAGTACCAGCGTTGGGGGAGCTGAGACAGGACCTGAGTTTGAGTAAAGCCTATACACTAAGTATAAAGAAATCGTCTCAATTTTTTTTTTCCAGTAGACTGCTCAGTGAATTGGAAGTTACTCTTTGGAAAGCTGTGATGCTGAAGTGTCAAATAAGTTTCACTTTGAAGTTATCTTAATGCATAAAAACTTTGGTGCTGTTCTGTAAAGTGAGGGTCATCAAAACACATCTTCAGCAGGGCATCTGTGGCTCTCGCTTGTAATCCTAACTACTTAGGAAGCTGAGATCTGAGGATCGCCCTTCTAAGTCAGCCTCAGCAGAAAAGTCCCCGTGAGACTCTTTATCTCCAGTTAACAACTCAAAAACTGGAAATGGCGCTGTGACTCAAGTGTTAGAGCCCTAGCCTTGAGCACAAAGTGGCTCAAGGACAGCACTCAGGACTGGAGTTCAAGCCCCCAACCGACAAACGCAAACCAAAAAACCCCCAACCCATCTCCAAGATTTTCCCTCAATTTTTATCCCAGTCTTCCCCCTTACCCATGAAGGATTTTTTCCAAGACCTCCACTGGATGCCATAAATCCCAGGTAGTACAGAATTCTTTGTATACTTTTTCTTATATATTAACTCTCTAAGTCAGGCACAATAAGAGGTTAATAACAGTAATAATGAGATAGAACAATTATAACAATACTGTATTACTGTTATAAAAGCTATGTAAAGGGGCTTGGAAGGTGGCTCAGTGGTAGAGTGTTTGCCTTGCATGCATGAGGCCCTGGGTTCGATTCCTCAGCACCACATAAGCAAAAAGAAAAAAGCTGGAAGTGGCATTGTGGCTCAAGTGGTAGAGCGCTAGCCTTGAGCTGAAGAGCTGAGGGACAGCGCCCAGGCCCAGAGTTCAGGCCCATGACTGGCAAAAAAAAAAAAAGCTATGTAAATATGTTCTCTCAAGATGTCTTAATTAAGAGTTGAGAAGTATGGGGCTATATGGCAAGGTAACAGGACTCAAGAAACAAAGGACAACCACCCATTTTGTCATATCATTGCTAAATGACTCCATGTTCATAACCATATATATGGTACATATATGCAGCCAGGAGGAGGAATAGAATAAGTGAAAACAGCCTACACTAAGCAAAAGGAAAGAAATGTAAACATCACCTGATGTGGAAAAAATAACTTGTCAAAGCTCATAGAATTCACAAACTGTATAGATCATGATAATGACAATTTGCCTTGTGAAGGTTAAAATGTGTTTGTGACTTTAAGTATCACTATTCCCCAATACTGTGAAATATGTGAAATTTATATAATCACCTAATCTCAAAGAAAAAAAGTGAGAAAGGGATGGGTTAGGAGAGATAGATGACAATATTGTCAAACACTTTGTACTTATATACTGTTTTGAGGATGGGAACTTATTTGACTTAAAGATAATTTAAAAAAGAAGAAGGAAAAAAGTATGGGGCTGGGAAGGTGGCTCAGTGGTAGAGTGCTTGCCTTGCATGCATGAGGCCCTGGGTTCAATTCCTTAGCACCACATAAGCAGAAAAAGCTGGAAGTGGCGCTGTGGCTCAAGTGGTAGAGTGCTAGCCTTGAGCTGAAGAGCTAGGGACAGCGCCCAGGCCCAGAGTTCAGGCCCCATGACCAACAACAACAACAAAAAAGAGTTGAGAAGTAAAAAAATCAACTTTTTTGATGATAAGTGAGCTGGGTATCTTTGTGGTAAGATGAAGTTGGGTGAGGAACATGTCATAGTCTAATGCCTTATCAAAATGACATGTGATAGTATAGCACCTTATCACATTGTGATTACAATGCCATGTGATAAGGCATCAGGCTACTACTTAAATGTGTATGTAGTACACAAGTATGCAAAACTATGACTGTTGATTTGATGAGACAATAACCAAGGTGGCTATTAAGTGGCTATGGGTGGGTGGCATATACAGTATAGATATGCTGGGTAAAGGATGATTGGAGTGCTAGGTAGGGCTTTGGGATGAGAAGAGATTTCATCCTGTTCCTTGGAATTGTATGCCATTTAAAAATTATGAATTGTTTCTGTATTTTGGCAAACTATTGATTACAGTTAGTAGCACATCATGAAATCCTGGCTTGGCAAGCTCTTTTCTACCCTTTCTCTTCTCCTACCCGTTCCAACAGTGTTCCTGATACAGGCTCATCCATATAATACCAGGTAAATCAGAATTACTTAAGCTCGTGACCTGCCAAGAATATTCATTCCAATTTACATCTAGTCAAAATAAAAGATGGTTTCCCTGCAGCCACTGCTATTTTGGAATCTGATGGTAGCTGTTTATTCTTTTCAAGTGGACAATAACTGCTTTCTGGAGTCTCCCCTTGACCAGGCCAAACATCCACTGACCCTAGTGGTGGTTGTCATGGACACGAGCTTAAGGCTTTCTGACATCCTGTCTCTTCCATTTCATCAGGGACTCTGTAGGAAATAGAAGGTCAATCTGGTTGAGATTTTGAAAACAAGAGTGAAAAGTTACTTACAGAGCCAGGGTTAAGGGAACCAAGAAGGGATGCCAAGATATCTAGCGGCTAAAAGCTGCTAACCTTACTAAGGCCTGAGGGACAGAGAAGCCAACTTGAACCCATTAGAAGCTGGAGCTTGGAAGGTGACAGTCTGGCAGGAACAGAAATGTTAGAACTATGCAGGAGGAAGGGAAGAGAATGCTGCAGGAAAGGTATATTCTCTTTCTTCTTGCCCTTGAGTCTCCTGCTAGGGGCTGATCCCTTTAGAAAGCCGCCAGAGCAAGGGCATGTGGGTGATTCTGTATGTGGAATCCACCACCTACATGATCTAGCAGAGGCTAGGTCACAGTGGGAAGTGGAAGGAAGTGGAAAGGGCCTAGCCCACCCTGTCAGTCAGCTACCCAGAAGTCAACAGTACAGTAGTACAGTAGTACCTGTACTACACCTAACATGACTTTTACTTCCCTATTCTATTAATGCAGCTTCACTTAGTCTTGAATGCACTTGTTAACAGTTTACTTAATAATACTTTTGCATTTGTTGTTCCTAGATCATTCCCTTCCCTATCTCAGATTTACTCAATTGAGTTTTTGAGACCAAGTGCAAGATTTTATTTTTATCTCTGTTATACTTAGCTCTAATGTCCTGATTCTGCTAATCAGAGGACTGGCTAATCCAGGGGCTGTGTTTGAGAGCGAGCATGGCTTCTGAAGGACAGGCCACCATCTACCACGCTGTTCCAGTTGCTTTTGAGACCAAGTGCAAGATTTTATTTTTATCTCTGTTATACTTAGCTCTAATGTCCTGATTCTGCTAATCAGAGGACTGGCTAATCCAGGGGCTGTGTTTGAGAGCGAGCATGGCTTCTGAAGGACAGGCCACCATCTACCACGCTGTTCCAGTTGCTTTCTGTGACCCTAGGGTGGCTCTGAAAAGAAGACAGTGAAATTGGTGAGAAATGTCTGTTCCTAGTAAGTGAGTCCTGGGGTCTCAGGGATCAGGGCTGCCCTCATTCAGGGCCCACTAAGCATCACTTTAGTAATGTAAGTCTGAGTCTTGCTCTGCATGTGTGAGCTCACAGCTCTGTATTTTGCAGAATCTGCTCTCTACTTGCCCCTCATTCTTCATGATTGCTCAAGATCATTAACATTAGTCTGCTCACAAATTATCCTAGTGTTTCAGAAAGAGTTCTCCTGGATCCAAGAACTCCCATTCATCATTCGATACCTGCTTTTTCCTACTGCAGAACACAAAGATTGGGAAGACAGAATATAAAATAATCTGGCCAACAATTTTATATAGAAATGTCTTTCTAAAGTACTTATTACCAGTAAGCCTTATATGAAGACATTAATGCTGGGCTGGGAAGGTGGCTCAGTGATAAAGTGCTTGTCTTGCATGCATGAGGCCCTGGGTTTGAATCCTCAGCACCACATAAACAGAAAAAGCCAGAAGTGGCGCTGTGGCTCAAGCGGTAGAGCGCTTGCCTTGAGCTGAAGAGCTGAGAGACAGCACCTAGGCCCAGAGTTCAGGTCCACGACCGGCAAAAAAAAAAAAAAAAAAGACATTAATGCTATTAGTAACACCTTGACTCTCATTGGCTGTCTAGCCTTGCTGGGGAAACTCCC